AGATCATCTAGTCCAATCCCCCTGCCGGAGCAGGAACACCTAGATAAGGTTACACAGGAACGTGTCCAGGCGGTCTTGAATGTCTCCAAAGAAGGAGATTCCACAACCTCCCTGGGCAGCCTGTTCCAGTGTTCCGTCACCCTCACTGAGAAGAAGTTTCTTCTCAGGTTTAAGTGGAACCTCTTGTGCTCCAATTTGTACCCATTACCCCTTGTCCTTTCATTGTTGCCACTGAGAAGAGCCTGGCTCCATCCTCGTGACACTCCCCCTTTATATATTTATATCACTAATAAGGTCACCCCTAATCTCCTTTCTCCAAATATAGAGACCCAGCTCCTAGTCTTTCCTCTGGGGTGTTTTTTTGTTGTGGTGGTTTGTTGTTTTTTGGGGGGTGGTTTGTGGTTGGGGGTGGGGGGGTTTGTTTTTGGTGTGGTTTTGGGGGGTGTGGTTGTTTTGTTGGTTTTGTGGGGTTGTTTGGTGGTTTTTTTGTTTTTTGTTTTGTTGGTTTGGTGGGGTTTGGTGTGGTGTTGTGTGTTGTGTGTTTTTTTTGTTTTTTTTTGGTGTTGTGTGGTTAGACTCCGCCCCATAGACTACAACTCTCTGGCTTCTCTCCTTCAGCCAGTTCACAGTCCACCTCACTACCCGATCATCCAGACCACACTTCCTCAATTTAGCCGCAAGGATGCTGTGGGAGACCGTGTCAAACGCTTTGCTGAAGTAGAGCAACTGACATATGTAGAGGACTGACATATAAAAGAGGAGTTTTATGAAGAAGAAACTTGTTTCTTCTAAGTTATTACCTCAAGAATCATACAAAACATACACTGAAGTGGAAGACAGACACCACAAGAAACAAAAGCAAAACTACCGAGACTACTGTTTTCAAATTGACACTGTTTTCACTTTACAGCTCCACGGACTGACTATCAAAGTGGTGAAAAATGCTGGAACAGGAGCAGGAAGATAAAACCTTATTTGGATGCAGTTCAAATTCCTTTAAACCTTGAAACTTCAGTTAATATGTTAAAAAACACTGTAGAGTACCTCTAATGCCCAATTTTTGCATCCTGTTCTAGTACCAGAAAAAGTCAGCGACAGCTCTTTGCAGCCATGTATGGAAAAGAATATTTATTCAGTTTTAAACTCAACCTGCAAAATAATTTGTACAAAGTATTAGATTTATTCATAAAGTGAAGGAATATCATTATGCTTTCTCAACAATTGTGGTTTCTTTCTACTGGAATAGTTGACAGTGATTAAAAAAAAAACAATAATCAGGTTGGTAATTCTTACATAAAGAATTCTAAAAAGTTTAGAGATCCTTTTGTCCTTAATGGATACTTCTGAACACAACCAAATCTGCACAAAGTACTGTCCATCTGAGCCTTGGATATCAGCTGCATTATTTTAAACAGTCTATATACATTTAATATTTCTCACTGGCTTTAAAAAAGTCAGCAGGTAGAAAAATACAGGTTAAAAGTTAAAACGCCTTTATTTTACATGAGATTGCTTACAACTACGCTTCATTTCCACAGGTCCAAGATAGTACACTTTTGAAGAGACTTCGGCTAAAGATCTATCAACTCAGGTATTCAAAAATAGAAATAATCCAAATCAGAGGCTGCACTACAGTGCTGTGTCATACATGTTGCAGAAGAAAAATAGTGATAATCCTGGGAAATGGCCAGTTTCCAGCCTTTCAGAAAGAAATGTAATTGTTTGATACTTCATGTTACATTGTCATATTTTAAATTGCAATAAACTACCATCAGCGATGTTCTCAGTATCACTTAATCATAATCCAGTAATTAAAGAAGAGACATTTGAAAAAAGATATAATATGAAACAGATGGACAGACGTTTTCATTTATTTAATTCACGCTACTTTTTGATGTTTCTCAGCTAGTTTATGCCTGCTTTTTCTTCTCCTCTTCCCCCTTATTTTGGTCTCTTTTTTCACTCTGTTCACATCCCGACATCCCCAACAGCAGTCCCAAAAGACAGAGCCTATGCTGCCAACTCATACTGGCAGTCCTTCCAAGAATGAAAGCAAAGGGACTCTGGGGACCACTTTCATTCTACTGCCATTGGTAATGCAACAGAATAAAACCTTTCTATGTGGGAAAACCTATATATACATTCCATAAAGAACATGTGCACAAAACCTGCATCTTCAGACTCAACTAGGCTCAAAAGTCTTGCTTGTAGATCTTAAAATAAAACGTATTCTCCAACGCCACTATAGTATGTGGAAACCATCATAAAAATCCTTTTTTCCTGAGATAAAAAGGATGCTAGAAAATTAAGCTTCCAAATACAACCACTTTTAAATATTTGAGACTTTTTTGACTATTTCCCTATTATTTTGGACATTTGAATAGCCATGATTTTCTTCTAGAATTAGCTCATATATATAATATTCTATAATACCAGAATAGCTTCATTTCTGCATAGAATTAATTTAATAACAGAAAAAAACTCTGCCACAGTGATCTCCCATAAAACATGCTTCTCTACAGGGTGATTCTTGCGGTTAACATTATGAAACCAAAAAAAAAAAAAACAGAAGAAAAGACTTTAGGAAGCTTTTAGGAAATTGCTTGACCACAACTACAAACTTCAAATAGATAAAATGAGTTTTCTTAACTTAGTCAATAATAATAAGCAAAACATGTATAGATTTATAAGTTTTAATACTGAAATATACCAAATTATGAAACATATTGTATGCATGAATTCAGTACAAAGATAATAATATGTTATCTTCTGCTCTTAATAGTGGTTGAACGTAATAAAATTGTAAGGCTTCCCAGTATTACTGCTGAGAATAGCAATGGCACAATGACATACACAGGTCCAAAATTAAGGCCGTATCCCCATCCTTGAATTCTGGGATAATAGCTCTCAGAGACACTGATACCCACTTGACCAATCAGACATCGATTGGGCACCAAAGAGGAGTCTTTTTAATTATCTCCAGCAAAAGAACATTAATTAATAAGAGAAACATTAGGGAAGAAAACTATTCAGAAGACCTAATTTTCAACAGCATGTGATATATAACATAAATATATTCTAAGCATACTTGTATGTGTTAATTAGTGAATTCTTGTATAAGTATCCAAATAAAACAGGAAGAGGATAACAACTGAGAAAAACAATTTGGTTTTAAATAATATGTTGACTAGATGTGATCACAATCATCAGAACAGATATGATTTCAGGCACAAAGTCTACATTCTTCCTGTTGGTAAATATACTTTATACTGTCCATGTTTATCATGTAACTCTACTTTGGTTAAGTGCATGTTACATATCTAATTACCTATTTATTTGTATATCACTTTCTCCCTCTCTCTTTCTGCATGTGTACAATATAAAACCACTTTTAGAGCTGAAATATTGCTGAGAACAGGAAGGAGGCTGGAGGGGGGGTTATCATCCCAATATATATGATACTCTCTCTCCTGCTCCTTAGCATCAAATTAAAGGTGCCAGTATTTCTCAGAGATCATGAAGATAACTGAGGAACACTCAGAGTCACTAAATACTGAACCCATGAGCTGAAACCAGAGTAAAGGGCAACAGGCAAAACAAGTTAAACAAAAAGGTTTACATTAATTACATTCAATTTTGTTTCCAAATAAAATATGGTGGAATACAAAAGGTGAGGGAAAAGGAAAACGATTTTATTACCTGTAAAAGATATTATAAATGTCTAACTTGTTTCAAGCTTGCAGAATAAACATGGTAATGAGATCATAGCTGGGCAGCAGAGGAAGGCTGACAGATTATACTGCTCCAGCTGCCAAATTCTAAGGCAGGAGGAGGTATCTTGCGAGAGTGATGGTATCATTTCCATGGAAACACATGAGTGAGCTCACTCTCATCTTTCCCTTTCCACCATATTTGAAGTTCTATTATGGTCGTCCTCAGAAATTAAATCTATACAATGAAATAATTTTTATTTTGCGTTCCAGTAAAAGTTTGAGCCTTCCGGTGCCTTTTGGTACAGTCACATCAAGAAAAGGGAGGAAGGCTCCAGCCTCTGGCTAAACCAGGTCTTACTACACTAGTGCTGAAACAGCTAGTTTCAACCAATGCCGAGTAACACTGAGATAAACCAGTGAAGAAAAAATTCTCATACTAATGACAGTAACTAACAGTAAGAAACTGAGAAGCCATAGAATCATAGAATAGTTAAGAGTTGGAAAGGACCTTAAGATCATCAAGTTCCAACCCCTCTATACCTGACACCAAACCATGTCACCCCAGGCTCTGTTCAACCCAGCCACCACCAGGGATGCAGCATTCACAACTTCCCTGGGCAACCCATTCCAGTGCCTCACCACCCTTACAGTAAAGAATTTCTTCCTTATATCCAATCTAAACTTCCCCTGTTTGAGTTTTAACCCATTACCCCTTGTCCTACCACTACAGTCCCTAATGAAGAGCCCCTCCCCAGCATCCCTATAGGCCCCCTAAAAGCCGTGAAAAGACGCAGGCCACCACACAAAGATTTCAAAGTATCACAAAAAGTATCTCCAATACTTCAATACTGCAACTACTACCAGATGTTTTAATTCAGTAGTATGAACAGCCACCACCTTCCATTAACCTGTTTTTTGAGCCCTGTTTCGGATTACTAGAATTCTGCTAGCAAGCTAGTAGCCATTAAAAAAACACATGGTAACACTCTGTACAGTGCAATGACTATGATTCAACAAAGCTGCAAGCACTTGGACGAGCTCTGTCAAACTGCGATTGTCATTTTCCATGTTGTTTTTTTAATAACAAGGAATAAGGAACACACGTTGTTCATGACCACCTGAATACAATAAGAGATCCCCCAGCTGCTGCTTCTAGGGCTTGTTTCAAAAAGCCCAGGAAGTATCTTAACAGGCTACAAAATAAAAATAAGATAAAAATTTTAAAAGAGAACGTTTTTGAATAAATTCAGTGGATCATAACGGTACAAACACTAAATATGTTCTTACCTGTCTGACGCTGTATCACTTGTTACTTGATGCTTTACTCCTGAACCATTCTTAATTGAGTCTTGTCTTGTGAGCCCTTGAGATCTGTTTTTGTCCAAAACTTGTGTGGATATGTCACCTGGTGGTCCTTGGTAATGTGAATGCTCCTGAAGCTTTGCTTTTTTCTCTTGAGGTGCTTCCTCATTCCGCTGACCTCTATTACCTTCTTGGTCAGGCTGCTGTGGTGCGTTTGATCCACTATTATAGAACCAGGCTCCTGATTTTGTGAGGATTTCTTGTTGTTTTCGGCACAAGTTACATACCCACATTACCTGTTCAGACATATTTAAATGGAAAATCTGTTAGTTTGTAAACACTATACACAAGGTTTTAATCAAGCATACAGCAACTAATTTTTGCCATTTCCAAAGGTAAAAATATTACTATTTTAATTCTTTCTGTTAAAATTACGTTAGCCACAGCCTAACAAAATATGCCTGTAGAACCTTGGAGGATATTGGTTTAGAAAAAAATGCAAACACAAAAATACTTTCATTCTACCTTTGCTTAATCATTTATAATACAAGAGAAGGCAACAGACAGCAGCAGTGCAAATGAAAAGGATCTCTATATCAACATTCAAATAGCAGGAAATGTAAGATTTGAAAATTAAGATTTGAAAATTAAGTATATAGGTTGATACTGAAAGGATGATAGGAAAAAGGAATTTAAAAAAATCAACCATTAAACATTTAATCTGTTACTAAGTCAGAAGAAGGAATTTTGGAATAGATTCTTTACTTTTGCAAACAAGTAATTTTATAATTCTGCAATATGCTCTGTTGATTTACTTCAGCAGTGGTCTGTATCTTATATTTACATGAATAAGCTCACTTCAAGAAATTGCTTGATTTTCAAAGCTATTGTAAACTAAAACCATTCTATAAGTAAAGTAACAGGATATATAAGCTGGTGAGTCTCTCCACTTCGTAGGCAAGACAGCTTTCACTGTATGCTTACTGAATTATTAAAATGATTACAGCTTCCCAGTTGTGAGATCCTGCACATAATAATGAGATTTTTTAACATTCTAAAATGCACTTTCTTGCAAAGCTTTTTTATCCCATCACCTTAGTCACATGGCAGTGCAGGAAATTGCAAATGCCAATTATCTGTACATTAATTTCACATTCAGTTATTATGTTATATGAGAATAAATCAGGATGCAATCAATCAAATACAACAGACCAACTACTGATACAATGGCACTTTCAAACTGGCTATTGCATTAAAATTTGGACTGTAGATAGCACTAATTCACTGCAAGTTTAGTTCTTCACTCCGTATTTTTCATATTTAGTCTTAGCTTTTCTGTTTTTTGTTTAGTTCTCAGACAAAATAGTATTATTTGTAAAACTTGTTTCTTGAATGTCTACACTGGGCCTTCAATCTAGTTATCATGCTTCCAGCTCTAACCCTACGTCTACCTGCCTCTTTTTCAAGGACTTACAGTATAGGACTTTCGAAGACTCATATTAATGCTCTGCATTATTCTTTTAAATGCAGCTTGCTCGATGGTTGAATCACATGGAAAATGTAGTTTCTACCTCCAAAATACGTCCACCTCAGTCCACCAGAAAAGATTTCAGAAGTTGCAATCTGTATCTTACTTTTATTCTCCAGGCAGTTATAGAAAACCTGAGTCATGCTGTCTAGTCAATTCTCACCATAAACACTCTGATGAAAGCTTCATATAGAAGGCTACTTGGATATAATGTTCATACACAAATGAAACATACTGAGTGCCTCATTCACAGACTGCCAGGCTGGGGCAGGAAAAGGAGGTATCACTTGTCCATTTAATGATGGCAATATGCCCCATCCTGGTAAAGTTCCTTCTTAACTTTTCATAGTGCTGACACTCCATCTATGAGAACTCATGTCTGCTTATTTCAACAAGACAGAACAAACTGTCAAAGCACTGAGGGTAAAAAAGAGACTCCAGAGACTCCATGAATAGCAGCTTGGTGTCTGAAGCAGGTTAGATGTCCTGAGAACAAAGAACCAATACTGTGTACGCTTCAGGCCTGGCCATTATTCAAACAGAAATTTAAGAGTAGGTCTGTTTTGCCTTCTCTAATTAAGTTAGAGAGTACAAGAAAGATCCGAACTGAAATTTCAGCAGCAAAGACAGAAGTACTTTTAGACTCTTTAATTAATAGCAATTAAAAGCCTTTAGTATTTCTGCTTGGTTTGTACACATCTGAAAGACATTCTAAACTTTCCATACACCTGCCAGTGCAATGAAAGAGCCAGACCTGAAACAATCATGAAGTATACAAATATATAATCATGTGAATAACTACAAGATAAAATCTCCCAAAGCTTTTGTGTGCTAATTTTGCTTCTATTAGTAGATGTTAAAATGTCACAAAAACTAGATATCACAGTCTAAACACTTGAGCAACTATGTCCTTGGCTGGCAGCCACATTTTTTCCAAGGACAGTGCACTCCAGGATGACCAGTATTATTCTCTTATACCCAGCAGAATGAGAGGTCCTTCTGAATGAATATGATTTAATATCTCCTCCTCTAAAAGTAGAGTCAGGAAAAGTACTCCTGATCTAACTTGACTCCTGACTACTTTTTTTTTCTAAAGAAAAAATTACTTAATGGCATTTCATGTCAAAGAAAATTCTAGTGTGAAAAATTAATAAATTTATACCTTTTTCAGGGTTTTTTTCTGCCTAAGACTGTTTCATAATACTAATAGGTAAGACTTCTGATAAAGCCTTATTTAAAATGTACTTTCAAGATTCTTACTTGCATAGTGTTGACCCAAGCAACTATACTTCTAGTTTCAAATAATCACACACAATGAGCAGAATGGGATACACTGTGGCAGACACATGAAGTTCACGTGCTGCAGTGATCACCAAGAAATTCAAGTTCCCAATTAGTACAGGACTAACTGACTTCTCCATCTTAGCATAACATATAGAATCATTCTTGCAATTTAAAAAATACTGGTAATTTACAGTAAAGACCTCTCAATTAAATGACAGACATGCACGTAAGATAGTATTATAAGCGCACAGATGGAAAAGTGGCATATTATTGGACAGGATTTCTCCTTCTGCCCCCAGGTGTCTGCAACAGACTGTTGAGCAGCTCACATACACGCAGAGCATCTCTGTTCTACCTGCCAAGTCCCTGCCAGAACACAGCATTTCATGGGACTGTGAAGCAACATGGCAGAGAAGTAAAGGGATTGCATGTTTAATACATGCATTTTGACATATCTGCAAAGAACAACCACAGAAGTTTCCCTTGTAACGTAGTACTTAAAAAGGAACAATCCCTTCAATCAGAAATCTGCACTCTGAAATAGGCACAGTACCCAGTACACTCATTTTCAAATCTCCTAACCACTGCTCTGAAGCGTTCAACGGTCTGAACACATTTTGTATATGAACATCAGTGTTGCAATTTGTGGCCATTAGCTCTTCTCAACATGGGAACACTACTAATGTGGAAAGAAAAATACGGACAAAAATCTGCTCTTCAACATCGCTGTTACTTAAGTACGAGTTTAAAACTAGAACCTGAAGCGGCACCGTAACTAGGAGTGCATTTCAGTACAAAAGGCTGAAACACCACCTAGTGCCTAGAATAAGAATCGATGAAGTCCTTTTCAGATAAATGTCTCCTGTTTAGTGTGAAAATAACCACACAAACTATAGCTAGTCTAACTTTTCACAATAACTTCCTAATTTAATTTGGTTTAATAAGAAAAAAATCTTTTTTTTAATACAACACTGAAATGAAGTATTCCAAATTTGGATTCAACAGATTTACCTCAAACCTTCCACTCGCTTTCCATTCACAAAGATTTATACCATACATGAAACAAACAAATTCTAACTCATTTGGGATTTCTTCGCCATTTTTCACAAGATTATCTGTAATATGCTTTCACTTCTGCTAACACTGACCAAAAGCTCACATAATATTACTGTCACAAAATATTAACTCTTACTATTACATAGGCCCACAAAAATTCTGCAAAACCTGCAAGAATCAGATACTTCACATCTACACATCAGGCATAATTAAGGCACAAAAAAAAATAATCACTCTTATGTATTGTCCTATCAAGCATTACAAATTTGTCTATTAAACTCTTCAAAACACACTTCACATACCATTTTAAATTCAGTAAGATGGGAAAGATATTTGTAAACAAATTACATCTGCATACAGTTTAAAGCAAAAAAAATCTAATTTAATAAAAAGCATATATGACAATCATTTTAATATTTTCAGATAAATTATCTGAAAAGACAGCCATCTTACAAAATACCAATCACTCTTCCCCTAATTATAATTAGAGATGGCCTAACAGAAACTTCTAAGAACAAAATGGAAATGTTACTTTATTTAATGTTACTTTATTTAAGGCACAGTGCATTTGATTACATATCAGCCTGAGTTTGATAGTTTAGACACTGCAATCTAAGAAATAATTACATCAAATACACTTCAGCCTTCAGAACATTACTTTGAATTACTGGTGGGCAGAGGTGCAAAACCATACTGAATGTCTTCCAAACAGTGAAGTTTAGTATTACAGATTTACCAAATCTCTTAGAGTCCACCTGCTTGGCAGAAGAACCCAGTATATTAGCATTCTATTAACTGTTGTGCTTGCTTGCGAGTGTTCTTTAGAAAATTTCAGTTGGTTTAAATATATAGGATTTGGGGGGGGTTCCCCGTATTTTATACAAGATACAATTATTTAAACATTATACAAGGTAACAAGAACACAGTATCAAAAGCAAGGGGGAGAAAAATGGAAGAGTAAGAAAACTCTTTGGGTCCACCATCAAGGTAACTAACCATGTTTAGTAACAGACTACAGTTAGCCCCTTTATTTTTTTCAACCTGTCTCGGATATAAAGCAACTTCATTATATCATGAAGCAGTGCAATGTTTGACCCCACCCTGTATCAAGGAAGATTTTTAAGGAAGAAGTACTTCATCCGTACATTAGTTACTATGTTGACTTGGAATAGACATTGCTGAGTCAGCATGGCCACTCAGAATCATGAGTCAACTGTGCAGTCATCAAAGTTATGTCTATATAGCAAATCTATGCATCAGAAGATTGTAGGTCAGGGAGGTTCAGACTGGGCATTAGGAAGCACATCTTTAGAAACAGAGTGGTCAAACACTGGAGCAGGCTTCCTAGAGGGGTGGCTAATGCCCTGTCAGTGTTTAAGGCATTTGGACAATGCCCTTAACAACATGCATTAACTTTTGGCCAGCCCT